TCATAACATATTTTTAAATATTAATATGTAACTTATTACTACAAAAAGTATGTTTTTACATAAACTATTAATAAAATCTTCACGTACAAAAAAATGAAACTAATCAAGCTTGTTGTACAGTCACTATTTCAAAAAAACAACTTGAAATACAATTATGTTTAATGCGAATTAAAATATCCCGCTTCGAAAGTTAAATTTTTCTGATAAGAACAATAAGAATTGGGCGGATTTACAACATTTTAACGGTGAATCTGGGAACCGTAGGCCTAGATACGAAGCATCTGGAAACCCTAGGCCCTGGCACTTTCGTGGGCTGTCGCGGCAAGTACAGACAGACACAAAATTTTGTGAAAATGTATAGTTCCTCGAAAGGTTTGCAATGTTTGAAATTGTTATTTCCAATCTTCTGCGCTTCTTCTGCTGAATAGTCTTTCACGAGCTATCACGTCACAATACAATGGCAATACCTCAACAAGGTACTTTGAAATTCTTAAATAATTCTCCATATAGTGAGCACAAGGAGCAATATAACGCTTTACGAAATTTTACGTAAACAATAATTCTTCTTGAGGCTTCCGCGGCCGGAGTCAGTATTTACTAGGCTGCCCGGATGATTCTGCGACCTTTCTGACATTACGCCCTGAGGAAGGTCACAGAATGGCGACCGTAACGTCGGCACCTTCGCCATGGACGCGGCGTCACCCGGAAAGCCAAGTAAATAATATTTCTTCTTGTTTTAAAGGTAATGTGAATATTTCTACGATGATAAAAACAGAACTTCAGAATAATTGTAAGAAAGCTAAAAATAATTACATGAAAAACGTATTATAAATTAAACATGAAATGTAGTTTTCAGTGAATATTCTACCGAGGTAAGTTTAGCCGAAATTAATAAGTAAAATTCAACTCATTCACTTTATGAAACAATAATATGAATACTTGAGTTTACGTATAGATATGAATTTCTAAGTTTCTACTTAAAAATCCATGTTTAAAATAACTGTTTAAAACCGATTACACTGAGAATTTGGTTATATTTTTACAATTGAGATATGCAGTTTGCAAGTAAATTTGTTTTTAAATTTCTTTAAAGTATTATATCAAAATGTTTTTTCACATTTATCAGAATACTGGAATTAACAATAGTGCACAAGAATTATTAGAAATTAGCACATTCTTGACGCCGCACATTACGAGCACAGAGATGAACATTTCAAAATTCATTTATTTTGGTGAAATATTGTTCAATAATTCTCTAATTGTTGAATAATTAATCCATAATCGATCTGTAATGGTCAATTCATAATTTCTGTAATATTATTTTTAGTCTTTCTTGGCATTAAAATATGTTGAAGATGCAAGTGAAAATTATGCACTTTAGTTTATTACGTTCATTATTATGAACTATTAACACATGTCTCATGAAACCTGTGAATAATATTTAAACGGTGCAGTGAAAACTAGGAGAAAAAATGTGTAGTGACACTTTCACGGAAGATGTCAAATGTATTGATCTCACTAAAAATCCATTGGGAAATGCACAAGAAAAGAAAACGACGAATACAAACATCGTCCATTCTACTGTCAAAGTTTAAAAAGGAGCGCCGGAGGCAAAGTCATTTTGGAATAGAATGCCTCAAAAGCCAGTTCCCTGCTGTCCAACTTCCATCCATATCCAAAAGGACTTTTCTGCTGCTACAATCAGGGACTGTCGAATGTCGGTTGTAACGAAATTACTTGTTGTTTCCGTTTTCCACAGACAAGATGTCTGCAGACGGAAACGCGGTTGCGATTAATGGAGTTGATAAAGTCGCGATCATCTCATATTTATGTTCTCTGAAGGCAAAGAATAAGGTCATATTTCTCGGCTGGACACGTCCATAAATACTACAATCTATCTCAGACAATCGTGCCAAAGTCTGGAAAAGCTACCGTAGAAAGTACAAAAACAGAATATTGTGCTGAGTTCCAAAGTCTTATATCTTTTATTTTGGTGAAGAAGTAGTTAATAAAATTATGTAGAGTTGCAAAAAATCAAAATCGAGATATAGTCAGAAACATTAGTCTTGGGTATCTCTTGTATCGAAAAGTTCCGTTTTCTTCAGATGGTCTGTCCATCTGTCTAACTATACGTTCGTTGATCTGACCATTTCTCCATTTGTTATTCTCTTGACAACATTATAACCAACATTATAACTAGTACTTTTACCAAAATGCATATTCTGCAAAGAATCAAACTATTATTACAACTTCTTAAATTTAAAAGGGATCTATTAAGTCTTGGGGGCAGTAAAGTCTTTAGGATATTTTTAGAGTTTTCTTCACAATAGCTTCAATTTATTTTCTTTAATATTTTGGTCAAAAGAACAGTTATAAAATCGGCACAACGCCTATTTTATTAAAACTTCCAAATTTTCGAAAATTGCAAAAGTTTATTTTTTTTAGATCTCGACCTACTATTACAGAATTGAAGACACATATTTTATCTTCATTAAATCTATTATTAGAAATACATGTTTAAATAGTGACAAGTACAATTTTTTAAAATATGAATTGTTTTCTGGTAATTCTATGTAAAATAGTGACACTTTAAAAAATATCCAAGATTTTATCAAAGAAGCCTGGCATGTTTTCTCTATTATTCTTCAAATAGAGCCCAGTTTTCAATAACTTCATACTAAATGAAGTACAGAACAGTAAATGAAATAAATCATCTGTACCCACACAGGATAAAACAAATAAACTACTCCAAAATTGAAAAACTGTAATTCATTTGAACAATAAAACAAGAAGGCTATGGTATACCACTAGAAGCCCTGGATTTAAAATGTAACTGCATCTATTAACCTATATTACAAAAAAATCACTATTCTCACTCAAACAACAACAATATAACACCATGATACAAACACAAGTAGCAATACTGTGTGGCAATTTAAAAATAATATAGTAAACAAAAGTGCCATTCGTTCCCGTAAAAGACACCCGTATAGCACAGGGGAAAACTATCACTTTTAGAAAAAGCAGAAACCTTAGCAAATAACTTTGAAAATACATTGAAACCCCTTGACTCAACCCCCCACTCACAACACCGAACAATCACATAGCTAGCCTCATCTAAGTAAAATATACCCTTCAGAATCAAATTGACATGTATCCTTCAAGGAAATACAAAACATAATAAAAAGATACCCCCAAAAAGGACCCCAGAGCATGACAGAATAAATAACAAGATACTTAAAATCCTGCCAAACCAAGCCAAGCAATATTTATAACTCAGCATTAAGAACAGGTCACTTCCGTCACTAGACATATCACAAGCTTATTACAGTGTATGACATCAAGGTCTCGCGTACTAATTTAGAACCAATGGCGCGCCCAAATACTCGTACTAAACAAACATTATCAATAGGTGCGTCAAGCTGGAACAGACAAAGCAACACGTCGGAATAAAACATGTCGAATGATTTATTGCTAATTAATTGGCACAATTTGGAATAAATTGCCACGTACGGCATGTTCGAGGCAAAAACGGGTGTGAGCTGACTTGTACATTAAATTTGACTTCTTTATAGATTGTAGTGAAAAATTACTTCATTTAGGTTCCTTTTCTCTGTGTAATCCTGTCTGTTTGTAATTCAAGGTACAATCAGCCACAATTACCTCGGATGTTCGCGACTCTACTGGAATTATGATACATGCTGAAGGAGGAGGTAGAAAAAAGGGGAAATATCGAAAAAAATCTATATCTGTAAACAGTTATTCTGATGATCTGTGAAAAATCTCCGAGAGCTGGTCACACTTCTTCGAACTCACCGATGCGGGAGTTACTAACTCGCGCCATTCACCCAGTTTTTGAATGTGAATCACATCTTTCTTTCGGACGCAGTTAGGAGACGGGTGAGGGCTCCGTTCCCTCAGGGACTGATCATCCGGGGGTCCCTGGATTCGTCATGGCATTACACTCAGAGACAATTGAGGGGGGATTTGTTTCACGCGTGAGAGCAGCGTGTGACTGCTGCACCAACACGAAAAGAGGGTTGGTTTCAGCTTTATTATTGCGATAATTAAAGATGTTGTCATTGCCAACAATATTATTTAATGCAATAGCAGCTTTCGATGGCTTAGCCATCAAAAATGCCAAAGATATCACACCACAACACCTATATTTATTATTGCGTTCTGACGTACTCAGATGCCAGCCTGCAGATGTGCCGTTGTTCATCTAATAGGTGAGAGAGGAAGTCGATAGCCTATCATGAGGCCTGAAAATCGTTTGGTAGTAGATATTCGCAAAGCAGCCATTTAACGTTTTCTTTAATCTGTATTACTAATTTCCTACGCATATAGACATTGAGACAAAACTACCCACTCTGTGGTCATGAGATGTCAATGTTTCCATTACATACCCAGAATCTTTGGGAAAATTTGGAAACAATTAAACGTTCTATTTTCACGTATTCGATTACGTTATTCCACCTATTCTAATACTCAGCCCACTGTTCAGAAGTCTCATATTCAGTGAATCAGTGCTTGCAGCGCAGATGCCGTCATGCAACAGCAAGGTTTCGAAACAGAGCCAACCTCTATTAAATATTTGCTTTTCATACGTTGTGTAACGGAAACGCACCTTTTTTATATTTATTGTATGTAAATAACTGTTGTACTGTGTAAATACTGTACAATGTTAGTACAGTATTACTGAATTCTGTTTTTGATAAAGTATTTAGTTTATTGCAGAATTATACGCGAGCATTTACTATTTTTTGTCATTGACCATTGTACGAGCTATTGTTTGGAAAACCATTTTGTGTGACTTCATTCAGCAGCACTTTTGCTGCTATAGACCACAAGCAAATTACAATGTTGGCACCACTCAATTTAAAAGACAGCACTACAAGTCAAAGTTCGAATACACCAGAAAAGGTCACCAATGTCAGACCCACTACCTTGGGCATATTCGACTGTGAATAGCAAAAGAACAGCACAGATCAATACCATTAAAAGGAAAGTGAAAACTCGCTGAAGACGTTGACTGGAACAGATTGAAACTCGACAAACCTGGCGGCGTCCTCTGCAAGCGAGTTGACTCTGAACGCGCCCTTACCTGAAAAAGAAGAGAAAAGCACAAGGTCATCAAAAGTGAAACAGGATCTCAGATTGGCGCAGTGCCGTTTGCTCTTTCGATAGACCCTCGACAGAAAGCTCTCATTTATTAAAGCGAAAAGCGAACGCGTTCCCGTTGCATTCAGCGTGTGTTGCTTGCTTCGAGAGGAAGAAAAAAAAAGGTGGATGCGAAATGGTCTGGCACAAATCCTGCGATCGGCTGAAACAGCAGAAGAACATTTATCACCAGTTTTAAATGCACGCGAAAGCAAGAAACTCTAGCTAAACTGTAGGATTTACAATGCCGTTGACCAGGAAGTAACATAGACTCCATTACAAAGTAAACGACAGCTTTTGTTTGAGTAATATAAATTTATTATGTACTCTTGTTACTTTAGATTGCTCAGTTCGATACTCACAAAGCCAATGGCATTGTGAACAAAAGTAGAAACACATAACAAATTATAATTTACAGACATTTGAAATAGTTCAATGTTAACTAATAATAATTTGTCCTTTCACGCAATACTTGAAACAATATGTTGTAATGTTCTACACAGCAGTCCAACACACGTGTCACATCGTAATTGGTTATGAACTGACCCCACGCTTCTTACGCGAATCCTTAAAAATCTGTCATTCATGTTACCCAGACCACCAAATTGGTGTATGCAATTGGGAGCCAACGTGGGGAACCGCGGTGACTAAGAGCGTGTACCGACTCAGCCTGGGTCTGAAGGGGTGCGGGTTCGAGTCTCGCCTTTATCATGTTTTTGTTTTGTTATTTAAGATCGGATCGACATTGACTTTATTAGCGACCACTATTGTATTGAACGGTATGTTAAGTGTGAAGATGACATGATATGGTGATGATAAGGGATGAAAGGACAAACGCAAATACAAACATGCTGGAAGAAGAACTCGAACCCGCCATCCTTCGGTCCGCGATCGCTACGGTACTACTGCCTTAACGATCTCGGCCCCCCGGACCGGCTTGGACATGGTTGTTTCTCCCTGAGTCTCATGAATGTGTTTGGCAGAGGGCCTGGCGTTCTGCTTGATCTCAGATTAGGGGAGCCCACAAGTGTGTAGGTGTGCAGAGTAGGGTCGAAATTGCGGCCCATCGAGACGTTAAATGTAACCGGTGGTCGGCTGCATAAAATCATGAGGAAAAAATGCAAGATTTCAACAAACGTAATATATTTTGATAAAATCTATAAAACCATTTTGATAAACACTGCATCGTTTACGCGACTCTGACAATTCGTCGCGGTGTTGCCATTACTACGCATATGGCACTACCTACATGACAGATAAATGGAATCTGAAAACATTATCTCTTACCGATATGTGATCACACGTCTTTGTTATAATGTTCATTACCTTCCGCACGGTTGAACCTTATCGCCTCCGTGACCCCATGTGAGTCAGTTGAGCGGTAACGCTGAACTCTGGCTGGGAAAAAGTGAACAAATCCCTGTATGCTGATTGATTCAGAGCAGGTCACATGAGGTAGCACAGCACGTGGCGAGGGAACTGTCAGAGTAGTTTATACGCTGCCGGTTCTGTAGTGTAAATGTTTTCCTATGACTTATAAATTTATATCAAACATGATTTTCAAGTGGATTATCGATTAACTATATTATTTTTTAAATTTTGAATTGTTCGAATCAATTGAAATATGAGTGATATATTGTTAAGGATAACTTCTTCAATCTTAACAAATAGACCATACGAAATTTGAAGGCCAAGAGATGGGATGAGTGAAAAAAGGTTTAGAAATGTGTAATTCCAAATTATAGCAGAAGAAAGTTACACGAAATCCATCGACTCGTCAGAGCAAATCTCATTATAGATAGCTCAAAAAGTAACACAAATCTACTCGGAACTAACTATAAGTTTATCTTTGATAAATCAAAATTGTTTTCAAGTTGTCACTTAATAGCTATAAATAGTTAACACGTGGGTTTTATTGGTACTTGATAATGGGTTAACGTATCATCTTTGGTAACTACACCATGGTTGCAAAATATCAGACCTTTTTAATAATTTTATTGAAGCTAAGAGCGAATTGTCTTTTTCATAAAAAATAATTTCTTAAATGCAAAACCAATACTTAGAAAGCAACATCAAAACAATTATATCTACAAGTCCACCAAACTTTCCGTTTCAGAAGTGAGGAATTCGGGCAGAGAGAGTCGGTAATCGATCACCTCACAATAACTATTTCACTAAGTAAATGAGCTGAGATCGATTTTCAGAAACATTATGACTTATAACTTAAGTTTTTTCTTACTTATGTTTTTTTTACGTATGATTTTTCTTACTTACGGCGCGTGACTTAATTTTTTTAATTATTTTTTTGGGGGTGGGGGTTGCTGCTCCTGCTACTTCATTACATTTTTTCAAGTACCGATTTTCAAGACGTTACAATAGAGCGGTAACGATCTTACCGAATAGACAATATTCTGTGGTCTTCGAGAGTAAGTTGGCAGATGAAATGAATAGGTGTAGGAACATACCAACGTAAGCCGCAAAATCATATTTCACAGATGATGACGAAACGCTGTGTCAGCAAAGCGAGTCAATCTGTTCGAGGACTGCATAATCACGCGACCGACACGCCCATACTCTTCGAATAGCTGCCTTCGGAAAGAAGGATGCGACACCCAAGATAATTGTTTTACAGAAACGTCCAAACATCTGTTTATAAAAGCCGATGTTTTTTAACATCAATGTTTTGTTTGTGAATGAGAAAGTTCCATAGTCACAATGTTGTAAATGTTGAACTATGATATAATTGATGTCAAGTTCATGTGTTTGAAGAACGAAAACGCTGATGTGCTACTTCTACCGTGCAGATTATTTCTCGCACGAGAACTGATCCAATGTCCCCAGATTTCCTCGTGTTTCGCACGTAGGGAGGCGGTCAACACTTGCATGGTGTGCGTAGGGCCTTCCCTTCTTCCCGTATGATTCTACGGCCCAATGAGAAAGCTCTGATAGTCCAGGAAGCTCATTCACTCACATAGTCGACTTCTAATCTGGAAAGCTAGATACCGGACAACTATGTTACCTCCATCTAAGCGCCAGAGTTACAACTTTTCGGTATTAGTTACTATAATAAAATATTCAAATTGAGGCTAATGCCTACCGTTTTGTAAACACACATATAAGTGAAAATGAGTGGACCCAAAGACTTGCTTTCATCTGTTGATATGGGTTATAAAATGTTCTTTTCATGTTTTATAATTATTTACCTTCTATTATTTAGTGCTATCAAAATGTTTCAATGATGAAGTGATACCGTATCTGTATTTATAACCTGACAATAACTACGTACAAATCTTTGCATGATAATATTCGACATTCCACCATTGGGGAAAATGTCCAATCTATAAAATGTTTGTGGACCTCTCGTCAAACCTTCCCTTCAGCAACTCGCATTCTTGCAGCATTTCTTTTCTATAAAATTCAACTTCCTGGCAGCGCGGTGCGTCTGTTGAAATACAGCGCGCGCAGTCGACCGCGGCGGCCTCTCGCGGGCCTGCCCGCCGCCGCCGCCGCCGCCTCCGCCGCCGATAAGAGAGCCCGGAAAGCAATGAATAACGCAACGGGGCGAGCGCGACGCGGTCAGCAGAGAGAGAGAGAGAGAGAGAGAGACGCAGGATGCAGAGGATGAGCACTGAACGTGCCGAGCGCTGCGGTGCCGCCGACGCCCAACGGATTTCTGGGCGCGCGCCCAAGACAAACAAGCATCGGCACAGCGCAATCGTGATGTGCGTCCGCACAATCCATTGGTCGCAGGCGACAAAAGAACGTGCGAGGCGCGGCGACTTGGTGAGTGGGGGGGGGGGTTTCCATGCACTTGGAGAGCGATGTCGTTGGGGGTGTTGCCAACCTCTGTATGTAATCGGTAAAGGATTCTGAGCAGTTATTTATATCTCATTATATAAGTGTACTTCGAATTAAAGTAACAGGAAATTTTCCTGAATCAAACTATGTGGAACTAAGATTTTTCCAACGAAATAGGAATCTGCGGCACCGCTTAAATGGGAGTTTCGCGATAGGCAGAGAGCAAACATCAGGTGCAATTTTTCTATTTACGAAGAAGAAATCTTTGCTTCGCATGTCAGAACATTTAGTTACATGACTATAAAATATCACTTGCAGCACTTGTTGCTCACACGCACGTGCTGCATAACTCCATTGGAAGCCGAGCAGGAAAGATATGACAGCAAGTGAAGACGGTACAAGAGATACGATATAGGAAGTGATCTAAATACTCTGCAGATGGGTTGTATTCTAAAGAACGATGTACTGGACTATTGTCAACCTCCGCCGCATAATTCTGGAATGATTGCGGAAGAATTAATTTGTATATACCCGCATTTTGTAAAAGTATTCAACGCATAGTGAAAACTGCTTTAAGTGGTGACAAACGTTTTCGGAAAAGATTGGTAGTTGTGAAAGCTCGCCGCTTAATAAACGTTTAGAGGGCATGAAAGCGGACGTTTTATCGACATTTTCTATTTGTAATGAAAACGCTGCACTAGTTGACACCTTCGTAATTACGAACTTACAGCATGCCGAAAGTTTGTTGTACTGCTGCGCACGTCTCGTGCATGGTTTTACGTTTGTCGCCAGCACCTAAAGATGCACACGATGGCGCAAAAATACGTTGAAGGTAACAGGTAGAAGCTGCATTAAAGAGAGATGTGACGGAAAAGTTGCTGACCTTCACTGGGCAATTACACAAAGAATTCGGAAGAATTTATTTGATACTTCAATTTGAAAATGTATTTACGATCGTTCTGTATTAGTATGTGATTTCATTAATTGCTGTTATTCAGTGCGAAGGGGATAGTTGTAAATAGTTTTTGGGGTTCGAAAACAAAACTCTCTTCTGTTTTTATCCAACATTGCATTTCAACATTAAATTCTAAAAATTAGCTTCCAAATCTGTTTTTTTTAAATCCGGTCCTTAACTTCCTTT